GAGTGCTGTATGAATGTGTGTGTAATAGAGTCTTGTATGAATATGTGGGTAATAGAGTGCTGTCTGAATGTGTGTGTGTGTAGTAGAGTGCTGTATGAATGTGTGTGTGTGTGTGTGTGTGTGTGTGTGTGTGTGTGTGTGTGTGTGTGTGGGTGTGTGTGTGTGTGTGTGTGTGTGTGTGTGTGTGTGTGTGTGTGTGTGTGTGTGTGTGTGTGTGTGTGTGTGTGTGTGTGAACTTTGTGAGCTACTTCAGCTTATTTCTTATTTCAGGTTTCTTAAATCCAATCATCAACCAGCTCTAGCACCAGCCTTTGTCTAGCACTAAGACTCTTAATGGCAAAACTCAACTTTTAGCTCATGTGTGTGAAAAAGGCACCTGTAGCACAGCAGTGGTCCATTTAAGGACCATCTCAAGGGTCTGAATTCACAATGTGACCTGGTTTGAAGTCTTGTTCCAACTTCTGTGGGCTCTCTGTATAAACTCTGGGCAATACAAACACAGAATGGATGGTTCAGGTATACTTTCTATTGGAGGAAAGTTAAAAAAACAAAACATTAAAGATATAAATATTTTCAAATACAAACAGGTAGAGTTGAGTAAGTAAAGAGCAGCAGAGAGAGGAAACGTGGTCAGTTTGTCCTCCAGCAGTCTAAGCCTATTTATTCAACCTTTATTTATACAGGCAGGTTAATCCCATTGAGTCTCGGGGAGTCATTTACAAGAGAGCTCTATAGCAGCTTAACTAAGGGATAGCTCAGGAAACCCAAACCAACCCTTACTATAGGATTTATCAAAAATGAAAGACTTAAGCCTGATCTTAAAAGTAGACAATGTGTCAGCCTCACGGACAGAATCTGGAAGTTGGTTCCACAAGACAGGAGCCTGATAACTGAAAGATCTGCCTCCTATTCTGTTTTTGGAAACTCTAGGAACCACAAGTAAACCTGCAGTCTGAGCGCAAAGTGCTCTGTTAGGAAAATATAGAACAAGAATATCTGTAATATAAGATGGAGCTAGGTTGTTGAGAGCTTTGTAGGTTAGAAGTAAGATTTTGAATTCTATTCTGAATTTGACAGTGGGTCAATGGACAAGCACCCCTGTATGAACTCTTTGTGGCCCCTGTTTAGACTCTGTGTGGCCCCTATATAATGTATTTGTGGCCTTTAAATAAACTGTGTGGCATCTTTATACACTCTATGTAGACCCTGTATACACTTTGCGTGTGGCAGCTCAGTGATGTGTTTCGGGACCCTGAGCAGGATTGGAATTAGCGGTCTGACCTGGTTTGCAGTCATCTTGTGACTCAGCTGCCTCAGCCTGCTGCATCATCAGGTGTTCTGTGTTTGTTGCAGCCCACACTGCACCTCCTCTCTGACCTGGTTTAAGAATTTGAGCTTATCGTTCATCAGTGTTTCCTGAACATCTCACACCAGCAGATCTCAGCTGCTACTGCTTTGTGTGATCATCGTCTATGGAAACACTTCAGCAACATTTATGGACATTAATCCTGTGCTGAATTTTTTTTCTTGATTTCCCACTTTTTTTAATATATTTAAAGTGCATGTCTTATTCTAGGTGTTCTAAAATAATTAGTCGACTATCACAAAACTAATCTGTACTTCAAACTACCTAAAACTTTGGAAAGAACTATTGAAACACTTTTTAGACAAAGTAATATTTATTTTAAGTATTTCATTAAGGTTAAGGTGCTGTGGAGGGTGTGACACTCACCCCCAGGACTCATATGCTGTATTGCTGTTTGTGTATTAGTGATTTGTTGAGTGTCTATGTCTCTGCTGTTTCCTGTTCATCAGTGTCTGATGTTTCAGAATCTGTCTGGTATGGTGTGTATGTGTGTGTTATTTGTACCAGTCCTTCCTTTGTGTGTGTTTTGTGTGATGGAAGACCTAGGTTTTGTTTATTATTTAATCAATTCTATTTTCTGAGCAGCCTCACATTTTGCTCAGTTTGCAACTGCAGCGAAGAACAAGCTTTGTGGTGCTGGTTGCAGTGACTTTGTTGGCCAATGCCTCAGATTTTATGAATCCTCTGATGGTTGGCCACCATGGAAACGGTCTTGGTAGTTGTGATACCTATTAGTCTTCTTATAAGTAACTGTGCAAGGGAGTAACCATGAGAGGCACTGTTTGTCATGAGTGCCTTTGTCTTGTCACCTCCTGCTTTCCACTGTTCCTTCATTGTGACTACCAGTTACTCAGCTTCTCTGTTTGTCTGACGGTATCTAGGACTACTCATGTCATAAGTAAATTCACATTTGGCAGAAAAGTCTTTGAATGAAGTACCACTGTCCTCCCTACACTGGCTTCCTGTGAGAACTAGGATTGATTTCAAAATTCTCCTCCTGACCTATAAGTGCCTAAATGGACTCGCACCCATCTACCTCTCTGAGCTACTGGAACCATATGTTCCCTCTCGGGCTCTGAGATCATCCCATCAGCTGCTTTTGGTTATTCCAATGTAGTAGAACATATGCTGTCATATATTCATACTGTTAAAACGGATTCTTTCATTTTTCTGGACTGTATAATGGCGTGCACCTGAATTTCATAAAATGTGGACGGAAACGTTAATTATCTTTGACTCACCAAGACAGTGGCCAAGACCAAGACATTTTTTAACATAATCAAGTTTAACACATCACACATTTACATTAATTGGCAAGAATTGAAAATAACGACAGCTTATTAATCAGTTTAGCAAGGAGTAAACAACACGGCGATTGTTTTCTCACTTCCAGCAGAACCACAAACGTCAACCACACGGCGGTCATTGAAAAACTTTGCTTCAGACATTTCTAAAAATATCTGTAATGATTTTTAGCAGATAGAAGAATTTTAAAGATGGAAAGATGAAGTTTATCTTGAGAGAGATATGTGAGGGAATTTGTCTGTTTTAACCAGAACATGCACGCTCCTTTGGAAATCAGCTTGCCCCAACGGTACACTTTTGGTGAAGATCGACTTTTACCTTTCTGAAGATATCTCAGTTCCGGCGTAAAGTTCCACTTCGAGCCACTTTTCAGCGTCTCCGTAAGAACAGCTAAAACCTCGGGAGTCGTGAGGTCATCCAGGCCAGACTTTCATAATTCCCAAATCTTTTCTCTTCAGTTTGATTCTCTTTTCAACAGCATCCTGAATTCCAGCCTTCATGAACTCTGGAACTGCTGAGTTTCAGAACTGCAGAACTTCCTGCAACAACTGGAAAACTAGCTTGAACTAGGAAGTGCCAACATTTAAAGAAAGCTCACTTCCGGTTCATTTGAGAGTTTCTGATTGGTCGATGGACCAAAACAGAGGTGTGTTTTGTGATGTAAGGTGTTATGAAAAGTCAAGGAAAAGATTAAGATTGTTTAAGGACAGACAAAATATATCATGAGAAACTTCAGACTTCAAGGAGTCAATTCTCTAGTATCTTGCTGTAAAAGTTAAACATGACATTTCTTTTCAGTAAACTTGCAGTTGACCGAAACTTGAACTTTGACCAACTTCCATCACTAGCTCACTTCAAACAGACGATCAAGAAATTGAATCATTACTCTGTAACGTATTCCAACTTGATTTCACTTTGAATGAGGATTAAGAATCATTATTACTGTTTCACAGTTAATAAAATGAGTAGTTCACTTCAACATTTAAACATTGTTTGAACTAACACAATTTGATTATCAAACATTTGTAAAATAGTAATGATAATAGAGAATAGTCTTCTTTCACTTGATTAACTTAAGAAAGAAAGTCTCAAGATGGGTCAACCTGTATTTCTGGATGCAAATCAATGAAATGACAAGTTCTGTCCCATATGGTCCTTAGGTCAAGGTTTTGACCTTCAGGCCTAGTTCACTACACCAAAAACACGACTGAAGCTCCGAGGAGATCGGGCGTTTTCAGTCATGGGTCCCAAACTGTGGAACAA